CTCGATGCACGGGAAACATAGCTGTCATGCATCGTTAAGTGCAAGTTGAATAGATAGGATTTATCATAAAAACACACCAGTTTTCATCACCTTGCCTTTGCTTGAAAAGCAGTGCCTGGCAATAGTGGAGGGAAAAATGCATGTGGAGATTGCCGAGCTGGGCCTTTTGCTAATGGAGCTGATAGGTTACCTCCTGTCAGAATGAACTGAAGCCCTGAGGTGCTAAGCTGTAAGCCAATGTGCAATCAACCCTCTAAGTCCCTATGCCCACGCACTTCAACCCGAAACCCACAGCTCAGACTATGCCAGACTTTGAACAACAGGCATTTAAGCCCGAAGATCCACCCCCCTCGCCGAGCGATGCCTTGCCCCCGGCCATGTCTTCCAAGGACTCCACAGAATGTTGGTTTAGGCGAGGGCTTTTAGAAGGAACGTCCAATGCTCAGGGTTCCGAAAACGAGTACCCTATGATTTTGGTGTACATAGATTTGTTTTAGCTGGACAGAACATCCGTTTGGTGTTTGTGGCTTTGAGAGCAGAGTTTAAGCTTGTCGTCTCGACGATCCTGCGTTTGTGGGTTAAAGCTACAGTGGCTCCTGGGAGAGTTGGGGTTGTGCGAGACTTAGACCTTTGCATGGGCTTGTTGCTGAAATTGGGTACCGCAGATCTTTGCTTCCTGGTTAGATGACCTTTGTTGCAAGAAATCGTCAATGCTCGCACAGCCCCGGCTAGTCTGGTGGGTGGACTCGGCAGTCGTGGGGAGGGCAAGGTTTGATGGTGTTGCTGGTTTGCTGGAGGGCTTGAACAAACCAAAAAAGGCTCACATTCTTAATTTGAGAAACATCCTGGCATCCAAACTCTCTTGCCATAGGGGTTGGGGATGTCAAGCTTGCTAGAAGGTCTGCTCAAACCAGCCCAAAAGATTCCACAACGTTCGCGGCTTGATTGTTGCAGGGCCCCTGCACGAAAGCTGCTGGCCCCTGCTTTGGGGTTGGCTGTCGAGAGCGGTTGCAAATGCAAAGAGGGAGCGTGCAGGCAGAATTTCAATCCCAAATTTTATGCCCCTTCCAGGATAGGGTAGCCATGGCACGGAGGCCCAAATGCTTTGTGTCTAGAGGCATCGGCTGCCCAACGCCACCATCACTGCAGCCATTGTCAATACTTGTATTATTGCTTCCTTGCTTCCTTCCTGTTAGTATTGTAATAGCAACAGGGAGAATGGCAGTTCTTCTTTTTGCAAAGTTCATCCTAGAATGACCGTAATTGCTAGTATTATGATAATTACTAGTACTCGAATTACGAATGTTCTTACTTTTATTCGTTCAATTATTACCTAGATGGCATTTCATTGCTTTCTCAGTCTTGCTATGGCCGCGATTATTACCCACTGCCTTGGCCAATCCAAAGTGATCCGGGGAGTGCGCCGGATCATATATCATGATATATGACAATATACTCTATTATATTATACGGTCATATACTATCATTTACCGCATACTATACTAGTTGAATGATACTATACTATACTATCTTGTCATATACCATCATATACTATCATATCCTGTAATATACTATTGGATGTCCTCTCGGTAGAGGACGAGGATGACGAGAACCACGGGGAGCAGGATGACGAGGATGAGGGGGGAAGGAAGACGAAGGCAGCGACATGGTGAGGATGTAGGGTATGGTTAAGGTTCAGGGTGTAGGGCTGTGGGTTTAGGGTTTGGGGTTTAGGGTTTAGGTGCTGGTTCTGGTGCTTGCGCTGATAGAAATACTCCTGTACGTGATAATGTCTGCAGACGCAAGAGATTAAACTTCAAAGCTGTGCGAGCCCCTCATTCATGGGTTCCCCTACTATCCCTTCTACACCACGCCCCTTGGTTCCCCCTTAATTCGGCTAGTTGAGGGCTAGTGAGGGGTTTACTTAAATTTAAGGACTTGCACAGGCCAAAAGTCTGCTAAGTCGATTCGGGTCTTCGAAGGTCTGTGTTCCTTAAAGAAGCTTCGCTACTTCCTACACATGCAGTCACCTTTACACATTATGATGGTGTCTTTTTGTGTAGTGGTATCCGGTTTTGGGTTTGTAGCCTTCGAGTTCACATGGTAGAATTGGGGGCTTCTTCTCGGTGCTGCAGGCCTAGGATTTAGGCCTCTAGTCCAAAGAAGGCAGTGTGTTTTCGATTTTTGTTTTAAGTCTTGAGGCTCAGGCTTGATTGATCTAATGTGGTCCATGCCCAAAAATGGCTTGGCTTCAGCGACAAATATCTGGGTTGAAATGATGAACGACTAGCTAGTTGGAAGTTGGAAAGTTTATGTTTGTGCGTTGGCCTCATAGCTACATGCAATCCATTTTCTTTACTCATTTGCCTCCAACCCCATATATACATATATATATATATGTATATATATATATATCTCCCCCCACGCTTCTTCTACGAACCCTATATGCGCCCGGAGAAACCCAATACAATCCTCGCTCATATCTTGCATCCGGGGATCATGTCAGGAACCTGCGTAGGGAAGAAACAAGTTCTACAAGAGGAAAATGCTGGCGCGTCTGGCCGCTCCATGTGCTTTTGTTTGTCGCTGCTGGTGCACGACTGTCTGATGCTTTCAGTTTCCCGTCCGCTTGCAACCCGGCAGGCAGTCTTGGATTCTCACCTGCGCGTGCAGAGGCCTGCTGAGTGGGTTGCTTTCAAGAAGTGCTTGCTAGCAAAGTGGACTAATGCATGAAGCAAGCTGACTTTGTGCATGACTCCTCGCAGAACCAGGCTCTAGGATAGCTTGGTAGACGTCGTGATGATGAATCTTTGTTTCATGTTGCTATGGAGCTTTCCCGTAGTTGTAGTTTCTGCAAGGCCCGGCCGTGCACCAACAGCCTTAGGCTTGGCTCCAACCCTTGATTCAGAGGGAGATTGCGCGTCAGACCTGCCAAAATGTGCAGAGCTGGCCGCAACGGATGAAATCAAGAGGAAACAGCTGCAGCAGGAGTATGCCAGAGACAGTACAAACCCGGAGTGGAAAACAACAGCTGAAGAAGCAGCGGAGGACTGTGAAGACAATTTGGGCACTTTGGTTGGGCTGATCAAGAGCAATGTCTCAGAAGCGTGGAGCTTTGATACCGCCTTGAACGCTATGAATAATGGCTATGAACAGCCGGAGTGCTTGAAGCAGATCTTGCCTGTAATGAATCTCAGCGAGACGCAGACAGATTGCGGCAGCTGTAATGATGTTCAGAGTGGTTGGCGTGCTGGAATTGACCACTGCAGCTGTGGCTTCACGCTCGCGCACTATGCAGCCCGGGAAAATCCAGAGTTCTTACCTATGCTGCAAAAGGCAGGTGCAAACTTGAGCATCGCAGACGCGGATGGTCTTGGAGTGACGCCTGCGCATTTGGCAGTCATCCGCAACAGGTGGAAATCTGGGAAGGACTGGATGGATTCCCTGCTGAAGCTACATGAGGTCGGAGCCCGTGCGCGCCTCAGACAAGGATAGTTTGGAACTCCCGTGTCTATGCTTGGCTTCATGAACAGCCCAAGTTCAGATGCATACAGTCAGAGCCTGGTACCAGAAGCCACACGGTCATTCAAGGCCTAGCAAGCACCAAATATGAGAGCCAACGGGCATAACAAGTTTTTCTGAAAAGCTGCAACGCTGCTACGTCTGAGTGTCGGAGTATTCCATGTTGCAGCAAGTCCAGGTATTTGGTTGTGAGGCCCGCGATACGACTTGTTGAGACATTGCCTTCAGCAGGAATTTGAAGTTGTTATAGGGGTCATTTCCAGATATTTCCAGCCTCTTGTAGCTGCCTCCTTCCACCCTTATCAGCTTTGCAAGGCCTCCATTCTGCAAGGCGCTTGAGGTTTGGAAGTGAACAGCGCTTCATTGCAAGGATAACCTTGAAGAACAATTTTTCACGTGGCTAGGAGGGTTTGGCAAAAATAGGTGAATCTGGGAAGTGGTGTTGCAAATGGATAGGCCAAGTCTTTTTCCAAAATTGTCGAAGGAAGGCCTTCTTGAATCTCCATATGAGGCTGTTGTTGTTGTTGTTGTTGTTGTTGTTAAGAGAGGCCGCACGGTCCCAAATATTTTCAGTGATGCCACTACCTCACGACACATCTTGTCAGTGTTTTTGAGACATCAGGAAAAGTCAGGAATTGCACTCGCGTGTCATCAAGATGTTCTGAGCCATAGAAGTCTGAAAACCTGCCGAGGTCTGGACATGCCTGATATCAATGGCAGCACGCCGGCGCATGTCGCGTGCCAGGAGCTATCGGAATCAACGGGCAAGAATGTTACCGACGTGCTTTCTGAAATTAACATGTCCGGTGGAAACCTGACTCTGGTGGACCATGAAGGCCGCACACCAGCACATTATTGTGCAGCTGGAAAAGGCAATCCGAAGGCAATTGAATTCTTGTACAGTTTGGACCCTCAGGCTTTTGACATCAGAGATCATCTCAACCAAACCGTGGAGGACATGGCAGAGGCAGCCGGGTCGATTGTGGAGGTCTTTTTTGCCAAGCTCAGGGCCGATAAGCTCAAATTAAGGGCGGATGAGCTGGCAAATGCCACTCTCAGGATGGCACGCCTTTGCAGCAAGCTGGACAAGGAGGTCCATGCATTATTCGACTGTGCAGAGCAAGTGATCAAGATCCCAGAGGGCTACGCCATCACTCGCCAAAGAGCCATCTGTCCCAAGGACGATGACGAATGTGCGGTGAAATGCCCTAATCCCAAAGCATGCCCTGGTGGGTTGTACGCTCGTCAGCAGTGCTCTGCTGGATATGATGTTAGAAGCGTGGGTTGCTCTCAGTGTGATGTAGGCTTCGGCCGAAGCAACCAAGATCCCTTTGTGTGTGGGCAGTGCGGAGACATCTGGCAGATGTGGACTGTGCACCTTGGCAAGCCCGTTGGGATCTACATTCTCAGCTTGCGATCCGCCAAGCCGAACAGAGACCTCCAAAGCGTGCTCTTCAACATGCTTCTCTCCTTTTGCACTGTGTCAGCGTCGCTATGGCCAGCCATCAAGGATTCGCAGGCGTATCACCACACACTCCCTGCAGTGCAAGCTGTGGTGATGGCAGGCGCGGGGACATCGAAGGTAAATCGTTTAAAACGTGGCAGTCCATGTTCTTCTCGTCTGTTCATCCCTGTCAGGTGATGCATCGATGTCCACGACTACCCCGTGGCATGGCCCAAGCATGGATTGCCTGCTTAAGGTGTCTCAGGCCCCAATGACACAGTGGCTTTTGCTGACAGGTGGCGTGCCGATTATTCTGCTTATTGCATCACTGACAACGGCTTTGGTTGGATCCTTGTGGTCGGGGCACCAGCTCGACAAGCAGCTTCTGCCAGACTTTATAAAGCCTTGCCTCGTGTTGACAAATTGTTTCTTGCCAGACCTCTTGGGAGCCTTGGTGCGTTTCGTGCCGTGCATTCACTTCCAGCTGGTCGCAACCAGCTTTGAAAGCTATGCTGTCACGGAGGAATGTGCCGGGGTGGGCCGAAGATATGCCATATGTATTTGTACGTTGCTGCTGGGAGCAGCTATTGGGCCCGGAGCTTGGATTAGCTTGATACACCACCGCACCTCAATGTGGCCGGGGGAAACCTGTCAGCAATTGCTGGGTTTCCTGACCTCAGGATACAGAGGCGAGGAAGAAACCAAACGCCTTTAAAATACGAGAACCTTGAAACCTCACCGGCTTAGGCCTTCCACGGTAAAGCTGTAGCGCTAAAGGCCCTCAAGACCTGAGTATAAGCTGGAACTCTAACCCCTACATGTCTTTAATGTGTCTAGGCTGAAAAGCTTCAAACCCTAAAACACAAGGACATCGAACCTGTGAGGTGAATTTGCGTGGTGGCAGGCTGGAGTCCTCGCGCGCAAGTGCCTGCTGGTGACGGCCGCCTCTCTCTTCCCAATGAGTTACTCCCCGACGCTGGTCATTATGAATGTAGGTTTGCACCTCTAAGATGAAAACACTTCACTGGATGAAGCCTTACCTTTGGAATGCTTTTCAAGCAATGACCGAGGATGCTATTCTTGGCATGTGTGCTTGTCATCATGGGGGCAAGCCTTACTTGCCACACCTTGACCTGGCCCTACGATGATGCTTTCCTGAATGCCTTAGAATTTGGAACCCTTGTGTCGTCAACTTTGGCAGTCATGGCAACAATGCTGCTTTCACTGCAGCGGACGACTTGGAGCCTAGACTTCAGTATCACGTGCCCCGTGCTAGTGTTGCTGCTGGTCCTTCTGATGGTTCCATTTGCAGTGCTGATGGCTTTGTTCCTGCGCGAAGCGCTGAGGAAGGTGCAGCATGTGAACCAAGGCGCGAATGAAGACGCAAAGTAGATGTCACGCAGGCTTGACTGAGGATGACAGTCTTCGCTTGAAAACTGATTGGAAGTGAAATCAAAAAGACTTCGGACTCCACTCGCACTGCCTGCTTGCTTTTTCTGGGCCGCGAGGTCTGACATGCAATGTTGCAGTTGACAGGCCCGTCGGTCATGGCATCTGATTTTCTTCGGCAGTGGCCACAGAGCTGTGAATGGTCTGTCCTCACAAGGCACTGTAAGACTGCAAGGACATGATGCAGTTCGGTGCCCTCATGAGCACGACAATACTCTTCACATTCTTGGAGGCCAGCTCTTGAGAATGCCAAATAAGCGGACTGACATGCAGTGAGACTTCGAATCCCCAAGGGTTAGCAGTCGACATTTCAAGGACGCTTGCCTGCTTAAGTTAAGATGTGCATTTCTGCAAAATGAACAGTTTCCCAAGCTGCTAGGCGTAGGGGATTGAATTTGAACTGTGGCCATATCACTCTCACGTCCGCGGTAGTGGGGTCAATGCTAGGGACATCCCTAAACCCTAAACCCCTATCCCTCAACCCTGATCCTTAAACTCTAATCCCTAAACCCGCATCCCCAAGTCCTCATCCCTAAACCTGCCGCAGGAGAACGCAGTGACACTCCTGCAAGCAAAGACCTGCCCCACCACGTACAACAGCAAGTCCTGGAGCGAGTCGGACCATGCCAGCAGGCTCGGGGACAGAGCATAAGATGTGAAAAATCTACTAAGAGAACTAGGCTCCTGCATTAGGCCGGTATCTCAGCTCGGGCTCCCCTGTCCATCTCCCATAAAAACCCTAAACCCATCTAAACCCTAAACCCCCCTAAACCCTAAACCCTCAACCCACACCCTAAACCCTAAATCCAAACCCCAAACCCTAGAGTTCTCCTTCCAAGGATCCCGTGGAAGGGAACCGGCCCAGGGTCAACGATTCTGGCTTGAGGGTTGAGTCTCGGGTTTTTGATTCAGAGTTGAGGTTTCGGTGTTTAGGGTTTTGGGGGGTTGGAGTGTATGTAGGGTTTTTAGGGTTTTAGGGTTTAGGGTTTAGGGTTTAGGGCTTTGAGAAAACATCCGCAGACTCATGGGCCACATGAGGAACGCTTTAGATCTTATCCTGAAAAGGAATCAGAGAACCTTCAAAAGTTTGCCAAACGAGGTGTCTCATATCCAGCAATGACGGGTTATCAAGGACTGGGGGGGCCCTTTTCGTGATCCCCATAAGGTCTGTTTAATTCGGGTTATGGTCTACATGAGTCTATTGGGACCTCCTACGTATGGAAACCTCTATGTGCCCAAACCTAATACACTCCTAAGCCACAAAATGTAGAGTGGTCCACATATTGGGAACCCTCAGCCCTTAACTGTTTCAGGCATCTCCGGATCGGAGGCGCCAAAGAGTGCATTGCTGTGCAGCCGATGGAGGTGGACAAGCTTCAAGCTAGGGGGTTCAGGGTTCAAGGGTTTCAGCGTTTCAGGATTTCAGCGTTTCAGGTGGGTTTCCGGCTGTATGGTTTTAGAGTTTTAGGATTTCCGGCTTTAGGGCTACGGGCTCATGTATGGCCTTTTATGAGTGTGGTTAGTGTCCTGGATTTTTGGCTCGGCCTTGGAGCGCAAGATGAAGAATCTGCAGTTGGCGGTTTAGGGTTTCGGGCTTGGGTTTAGGGTTTAAGGTTGGAGGTCTAGGTGTTAGGATTTAGACTTTAAGGTTAAGGGTTTAGGGTTTACAAGACAGGCGTAAGGGTTTGCGGTTTGGGGTTTGAATTTTCGAATTGTTCATTGCTCGGGCAACTGGTCAGCCCCAATGTGTAGGGTTCTGCGCTTGATGAGTGCTTCGACATACTTTTATTTTCAGAAAGGGCAGTTTCCTTAAACGCGGGAAGGGGCACCAATATAGCAAATTCTATAATCCTTATCATAGGGACCCCCAAAAAGGTACGACGACGACGACGTTGACATTGGGGAATCCCCCAAATTCCGTTACATTCGGCATTGTAGTTTAGGACCTAAGATTCCCAAGTCTGGGGGACATGAAGCGGCAGCAGCAATAACCCTAAAGCCTCAACCCCAACTCCGGAGGCAGGAATACTTCCAATGGCCTTGAGGGCTTCTTATGAGTTATAGTCTAAGCTCCTTAAAGAGGGGTATATAGGGAGTTATATAGGGGACTACTATAGGGGTTATTCAGGGGGGTACTAGGAGTTTAGAAACAAGCTCGTACAGGCATTGGTGTTTTGTTTGAGGCAACATGGCCTTTGTGGGCCATTGGTGGGTGTAATGCGCAGTTCCTGGGGAAAGTTACCCCATGTTTTGCGCTCTACTTGCGTGTTGTGCAACATGCAGATTTGCCCAGGACTCGGTCCACACAGCAGCCTAAGAGGAACAGACAGGCTTCTAGCCGAATGAGTCCGTCCTGTTGTCGTTACATTTCGAAAGCCTCGCCTGCCGTAGACACCTTGTAGAAACTCCAGCTTGGAAGAATGTCCGTGCATGCTGTATGTTGCAACTACTAGTGTCTAAGTCCATTTGACTAGCATTTTCAATGGGAACGCTATAGTCCCAGGAGACAAAGGAGCCGCATGTCGTCCTTTTAAGTACAAGTCTTTATCGCCACGAGACCACACGAAGGCCTGTTGACGCTAAAGACTACCCTACACCCCTTAGTTCGAGCCCAAAGGCCCTAAGCCCTACAGCTTGAAGCATGAGATATCCCAACCCTAAACCCTAAACCCTGAGCCCTAAACCCTCAACCCTCAACTCTAAACCCTGAACCGCGTGATTGAACGCTTCTCCGTGCGCAGAAGCGCCATCTGGCCCGCTTGTACAAGCCCTGCGTGCCCGATGATGTGCCTGGGAGTTTCTTGAAACCTGTTCTTCACATCCTGCGGTGTTTGCTTGTGCAGAAGATAAGCAGTCTCAGAAACTATGCATGGGTGAGAAGCTGCAGACATCAATGCTGTGCCCTTCAGAAGCAGAACCCTCAAGCCTACAACCTAAACCTTAAACTCCAAACCCCAAACACTATTCGCCTGGCAACAAAAATGTTCCCGAGAAGCAGGCCCCGACCTCATATGAGTTTTAGTCTAAACTCCTTAAAGCGGACCTATGAAAGGGATTATACAGGGGGTTTAGGGATTAGGGTTTAGGGCTTGGGGTTTAGGGTCTAAGTTCCTTAAAGGGGGGTTGCATAAGGGATTACATAGGGGACTACTACAGGGGCTATTAAGGGGGATACTTGGAGTCTAGATTATAGCTCACATGTTCATCTTGAAGCCATTGACCTACTGGCGGGTAGTAAGGAATATGGGAACGTCATCCCTATATAATCCCTATGATATATATATATACATACACACATTATCCCTATGTTGCACATATTCCCATATTCCCTACTAACCACCCGTAAGTTGAGGTACACCAGTTGATCCCAACAGCCGACATAGGAAGCTCGGCACGGTAGCAGTTAGGGTTTCGGGTTTAGGGTTCGGGGAGTACGGTTCAAGGTTTGGGTCTTAAGGTTTCAGGTTTCAGGTTTCGAGCTCAGGGTGTAGCAGTATCAAGAATACTGCTCCAGTTATGGAGTATCAAATGAAAAAAGAGTGGAACATGATATGCAACTACCATCGGGTTTGAAGTTCAGGGTTAGGGTTAGATTAGTACTAGTCACAACTAGAAGAAGTAGTCATAGCAGTAGCCCTAATCGCTAAGCCCTAAACCCAAAAAAACTACGAGTAGAGTGGCAGGAACCACAGCATAGCCGTAGCAGTAGCAGGAGATAGAACAGCAGCGATTGCTAGCTCTAGTCGTGCTTTTACATGAGAGCTTATGGGATGCCAGGATTAGGAGCTTTTTCTTATCGTTGAGGTCCCAGTTAGCATACCAAGAAATGCGCTTGCACGTGTGCGTTGCAAGCACGCTTTTTGGTGCATCTTGGCAACTTCGAGTAGTAGTGGCGCTGGTGATACTCGTAAAGTAGCAATCGCGACAAACTGGTAAGCAATGTATGAGAGCAGGTGCTGCGCGTATCTTATCGGAACTCTCCGAGGACAAGTAGGGCCGAGTAATGAAGAAGTCGGAAGTCTTAGTAGCACTATCGCCCCTATCCCGTTGTACTTCATGGCGGTGTGGCGTGACATGCCACAAAAGCCTATCCTGCATATGCAGGCCACTACACGGGCGCCTTGCCTGGACCTTTCCTTAGTTTGTATCTCACGGTTTACCACCTTCCCAGCCCAGACCCCATATGAGCTATACTCTAAACTCCTCAAAGGGGGGTTATGTAGGGAATTATATAGGGGACTACTATTGGGGTTATTAAGGTGGGTACGAGTTTAGACAATGGCTCGCATCATCAGAACTCACACAAGATCTTCAACCCTGGACGCCAAAACTCCAAGTCCAAGGCCTCGTAATCGTCAAGGTTGAACCTAGCCGCCCCACCACCCGTTGGGCCGCTGAGGATACCTTTTCACGATGCTCCACCGCAATGCTTGGCTGATGGATAATGTTCTTCAGCTTCAGCCGGGCATCAAGGTGCTCCTGGTTGGGGGCTTGGGTTTCCTGGTTCAGGCTTTAGGGTTTAAGGTTTAGGGTTTTCTGGCTCAGGGTTCCGGTTGGGCATTTCATGATGCTGTTGTTGATCATGGTCTCCTCATTATGGTTGGTGCAATGTGTTTTCTCTGATGGTCGTGGTGATGGTGACTGCTGCTGCTGCCGCGGTTGTTGTAGGAGGTTATGCTGTAGGAAGCGGTGTTCTCGCCCAAGCTAACATGAAATCTCAAAGGGTCATGCCAAACGGGGCCACAAGGGGTTGGACGTTTGTTGGTGGGCGCGGTACGCCATGATACAGTGTAGGGTTTCAGGATTCTGGGGGCTCAGGTCTTAAGGCCTACAACATCTGCTCCCTCTTCGTCATGACAGCACCCTAAGAGGCCTGATGACTAGGCCTTGACTGGGCTTAGCTAAAGACATACGGTTTAGGCTTAGGGTTTAGGGTTGTTAAGGGTTTAGGGTTCAGGCTTAATGGTTTAGGTTTGTTAGGGTTTAGGGTTTAGGCTTGTTAAGGGTTTAGGGTTGTTAAGGGTTTAGGGTTTTAGGGTTCAGGGTTGTTAATAGGGAATGGAGGAGTGGGATCCCTGCCGTCTCCCCTATAAGAACCCCCCCTCTTAGAGGAAAATCCCTCATCTGTTGGAGCGTGGGAACCCTAAACCCCAAACCCTTCGTACTCGCAAGATAGTTTTCACCTCTTTCTCCCGTCCGTCTTGCCCTACTAAATCACCTGCCCTAATCGTACCTCCCCCCCAGCATCATCTTAGTCAGCCTGAGATCATGGCAGGCGGAGTTCTTCTACAGCCTGGACCAGGAACGGCAGAATGCTTGGGACATGAGATCAGGGTTTAGGTTTCAGGGTCTAGGATCCTGGATTTTGTGTGCATGGTATAGGGTGCGGAAATCCTCCTATACCGTTGCCGCCGCTATTGTTGCTGCTCTTATTATTTCATAGCGGCATAGCGATTTGCAATCTTCGACTAGCTCAGGTTTGCGCCAGCGAGGTGAGAGGACCTGAGGCTCCTGGTTAGGGCGAAGGGTTTCAGGGCTTCGGGCTGATGGGTCCAAGGCTCCCAGGCTTGTGCAGGTTCTTTAAAGGCACGAGCCTTTCCCTTCAAGCCAACATGCTGACGTTGAAGAGGGTGGCAGGGGATAGATCTGTGACAAGTGGTGGAGGTTGAGATCGTATTCGAAGCTTTAACATGTGAAGCCTGGCAGGCTCGTGTGACCTTGGAGCCCAGTTGCACTGAGAGGCACAGCCTGGCACTTCCGTAGGATGGGGTAGAAGTAGGCTTGAACAAGTGGTAGGCTTGAACAAATGTGTCGCACTTGATCATGTTGGGGTACTCTCATCCTCGATGCGTCTGCAACCCTTGTAGAGCACATGTAGTTGTTTCTCGCAGGGAGCAGGAAGGACGGCGGTCCATCTGGTCTCTTCTTGGGATGTTCTCAATATCTGTGTAGCGTTAGGGGACTTAAGATTCTTAGCAGTTCTGTCACGTTTCTTTTCTAAGGGTCGATTCCTGCTAAAATCCAGGTAGACGAGGGATGATTCTTGGTGCCCCGATTCATGATCATCTAGGCTTCCGTGTCAGCGTTACTACTACTGGCAGCCTGCGATGTCTTCGTGGAGATCCGCATGATCTTCTGTCAAGTAGGTAGCCAAATATACACACAAGGTAGCTCTCTTCCCAGTGGTCGTTAACTGCGGTAAGGTGCAAGTAGTTGCAGAAGCTTCAGCATTTGGCATACATCAACATGTTAAGCTTGCGAAGATCGGAGTTTCGCACGAGTTTACCATTACAGATGCCCAATCAACAAGAGGCAACCCAAAATTAATGTGGCGCCTACGTAGGAGAAGCCAAAGCCCCCACAGCTGGCCTGAGGTTGTTGGGGAGTTCTGAGAGTTTTCCGCCTTTGATCTAAGTGCGGTCCCCGGATGTGGTGTCCATGTCATACCTTCAGTGATTTTGTTGAGACTTAAGGTGCAATCCCAAAATTGCCGTGAACATGTGCTGCCGTGTGCCACCCGATGTAGAGCATCAGAGCAATACATCTAGTGGTGGTTATAGCACAACAGACCTTCGAATCCTTTTCTGACGGTATATTCTCCTACATCGCTTAGACTGCGGATGAAGCTACCCAGATCGAGCAGAGGTCCAGACACTTGAGAAGCCAAAGTTTCTGCACCTTTCAGCCTTCGCTGAGGGATCTTCGCGTAAACTTCGACTTTGGTTTCTTGGCATAGCTGGCACGTTTTTCACCAAGCTAGAGCAAATCATCCGAGGAATCAGGATGCGATTTCTTGGCTTACTCTCGGAAGTTTATGGTTCAAGGGTGTTCCTTGAGGGTCATGCGTCATGACATCGCTTAGGTTAGATAATCCATCCGGCATGTTGAGCAACTAAGTTTGTCAACATCGCATTTTGAATCGGCAGCAGCATTGATGCCTTTCGCAGATTCTTCGAGGGCTTCACAAGACCTGCTTGAGCGTCAACAGCCTCAGCTTAGACCAGGGGTTGCAGTTTACTCAGTGTTGGCATGTCAGTAGTCTGAGCATTGCTCCTGAGATAACTACTGCTTTTCAGAGATTCATCTTGATGGCTGCAAGCCACACCATTCTTGATGTCAGGAACTGAGCGCCTCTGAGACGTGAAGGCCCCTGCTTCAGAGCCAGATCGTCTGCTCTGCCTTTACCTGCTTGGCGATGCTGCTCTGGTTGTCAGACGGTTGCTTTCCTTTTTTGCAGCCATGTGCGCCAAAGTAGATGGGTAGCGTCTTCCAAACTCAGCAATGACATTTCTCAGATGTCTGACGCTGGCTCTGCCAGCATACATAGCACGTGCTGCGCGCGCAGCGGTGGAGGAAGGGGCCATAGCGCAAGATGCAAAAGAGCAATACAGTGAAGATGCTCAAGGCTTCTATGACCACTGCCGGAGCATTGCAGAAGCCGAGTGTCTGACCACGGATGGCTGTGTCTGGAAGCAGCGACGGTTTGGTCGATCCAGCTGTAGCTCAACCTGCATGGACCACAACGAGTCAACATGCCCGGGCATAACCTGTCGTTGGGCGACAAATCTCCGTTTCAGCTCTGACAAATGCATTCCTCGCCAAGACTCGGAGGCGTGTGCAGTTTACTTCCCGAAGGGGAAGCGAGAGTGCATGGTGCATGATTGCAGATGGCAGCGCTCTGAGAACAGCACAGCTGGGGCATACAAGACTTGCGTACCTAAATGTCAGCGCTACCCTGCCGCTGAATGCCCGAGGCCCGAGTGTATGCTATCGGGTGGATCTTGCCTTGCCAAGGTGCCCCACTCTCTGCCCTCTGACGTGCAGGTTACAACGTTCCGTGACTGCAAAGGATTGGCCAAAGCCGCGTGCGCTGGTTTAGGAGACTGTGCCTGGGAGCAAAGAAGGTTCAGCCGGTCCACTTGTCGCTCTACATGCCTGGACCACAACGAATCCACCTGCCCAGGCGTAGCATGCCGCTGGATGAGGCACACATTCAGCAAGGACACATGCCTCGCACGTGAGGCGTCGGATGCATGTTGGAAGTACCATGATGACAAGAGAAGTTGTGTAAACAGGGATTGCGATTGGATATCGACTGGCTACGTTGACATCTCATACAGCTACTGCGTGCCAAAATGTTTTCGCTACAGCGCAGCAAGCTGTCCTGATCCGGAGTGTCAGCTGAAAGAGGGTCATTGTCACCCCAAGCACTTGCCAAACGAGATCCTGTGCCCCGACCTTACTCCAAAGCAGTGCGAGTACCTACTTCCTGGACAATGTACCTTGCTTGATCTTCCAAAACGCCGTTTTCAAAAGCTGCTTGGGGGAGTCTTCGGGCTTCGAGGTCACCAGGTCTGCGAAGCTCATGAAACCATTGAGTACCAACACAAGTTCCAGAAGCTTGTCAACAAGTCGGAGAAAGGTGCAATGCCAGATCTTCTCCCAACTTGCAGGAAGCACCAGACCCAAGAAAGTTGTGAGAAAGAAGAGCTGTGCGAATGGAGGGTTTTCCATTGGGATAAGCGGAAGCAGGGCCAAGCTCGATGCACAGTTCGATGGCAAAGCGACGCTTTCATACAGACCATGGCCGTCGCAGAAGCCGGCCGCCTAGGCAAGCTCAAGGCGTATGGTGTTGGTGGGCTGCTGACTTTGCTCCCGAGCTTCGCGGTCGGAGCAGGGTTCGGGGCAACGATGGTAAGTCTTTTCATGATGTTCGTGAAGATTGCCAGTCTCTTCGGCTTGGCGCTCGGACCAGGAAACGTGCTCTTTGCGGTGTGTGTGGTTCTCGGGGTGTTATGGACCCTCGGCATACTTACAGTTGGAGTGGGCCTGCCAGTGGGTATTGCGCACTCATGGGGCATCGAGGCGTTTGAAGTTGCAAGCGAGGCCACCACCACGTGGAAGAAGGTGAAGGTGGCCTCCGGCAACTTTTGTCAAGAGCTCTTCGCCGGGTTAAGTCCTTTGGAACCAAACTCGGTACGAACTGTCTCAGGCAGATTGGTTAATGCCGAAGGCGATTGCGCAGAGAAGCTCTCCGGCAATGGTTCAAGGGTTTACTCTGCAGGGCCTGAACACAGCAGGCCTCGGTGGATGAAGGCCACGGACAACCTGTGCAAGGACTTATGCATTGATCTGGTCGACACGATCCATCACAACATGGCAAACATCATGATTGCGGGTGGCACGAGAAAGCTGCTGCAGGCCTGTGCGGCTATGGCCATCCAGCCCGTGGAGTCTCACATCCTGGGCTGTTGTGCCGCATCATGTGGCTGGAATGCAACGACTCAATTCTGTGAGAATTGGTTCTTCATGCGCTCGGAGGATAGGGCGGTGTGGATGGACGAATGTTGCAGCGAGATACAGATTGTGAATGGCTCAAAGCGACAGGTGATGTGCGACAGCTTGGCCACTCGCGAGGAGCAGGCCAAGATGAGGAGCACAGATGAGCCAGAACGAGTTCCGGATCAGAAGTTCCTTTTCGGCTACAGCCCTGCAGAGGACGACAGCAACATCACTGGGTTTGTTGGGAAGTTGCGCTCTGGGGTCATGCGACTTTTGAAAAAGTGGAAATGGCTGATCGGTGCGAAGCACAACCAGACCGCATCTGCCCAGGAAATGATTTCCGGTGACTTGCCGGATGAGCTTGCTCCGGCTTCCAGTATTCAACTGGAGGAGGAGCAGGGCAATGACGTCCACGGTGTGGACCATCATTCGGAAGACGTAACAGCCACGTGCCAAGAAAAATTGATGCAGAAGAAGCAGTGCGAGCAGCTGACCACACAAGCTCAAAGGGCCTGCAAAGCACCTTGACTGCCTTGGCCATTCTTCGGAGTTGTTCACTAATCATTTATCAGCATGTAGAGCCCAGGGAGATAGGTATTTGTCGGAAGAGCAGCGAAGGTAAGATCCGGCTGGACCCCCACGAGCCCTCCCAAGAATCCTTTGTGCAAGCGCGAGTCCACGGAAGTGGTTGATGCAAGCCAGTGCCTCAGCTGGAGTGCAAAGGTGGACCAGGCGGTGAGGGCGAACTTCGAGGTGAAGTCTTTCTCAGCGAAAGCGGGCTACAACCTCATGTGTTATGCGTACACAGCGGAAACTTTTCTTAAGTGCCATACATACGATTGGGATAGCATTCCCGCATCCAACCTCCAAGTTGCAGACGGGGTCAAGCACTTTGCCTTCACTTTTGACCTGCAAAATCTGCGCAAACTGCTGTAGCTGTACCACTCTGCTGCAAAAGGAAAATGCTGGCGCGTCTGCCCGCTCGATGTGCTGATGTTTTCAGTTGTTGGTGCACGTCTGTCTGATGCTTGCAGTTTCGAGTCCGCTTGCAACCTGGCAGGCGGTCTTGCATTCTTACCTGCGCGTGCGGTGGCCTGCTGAGCGGGTTGCCTTCAAGAAGTGCTTGCTAGCAAATCGCATTGCTTTGGGTGATTCTAGCCAGTGTGAATAGACCGCAGCTACAGCAGCCCCTAGTTTTTGGGAACGCCTGAGCACAAGCAATGCAGCTTTGAAAGAGGCCACCTCCACAGACTCAAGCGCAATGAGAGTTCGAACACAAAAGTCTCTGCAGAAACCTTTTCCGTTAGTTTTCCATCTGTTCTGCCGATATTCAAGCGTTCGTTGCCTAGTTGACTCACAATGCCTTTACTCATCACGAATAGTGGCTAGGCTGCCGCTACAAATTGAACTTGAAGCGTGGGAGTACGGCCGCTTGATAATCAATGCTGTGTTCTGGTGCATGCAAACTCATTTGCAATCCCCGTCAAGCTCAGGCTTGCGCCAGCGGGGTGAAGTTCAAGAGTGCCAGGATGGACAGACAGCCCAAGGCTCATGAATAGGGCGACGGGTTCAGTGGCTTCGGGAAAATAGGTCCAGTGTTGAGGGCTTGGTCTTTCAAGGACGTGCTCCCGGGACTTTGCAGGTTCTCCAAAGACACGAGACTTTCATACGGGACTGCGAAACCTTTGAACGACGCTTGACGCTTGCATGCTGACGTCAAAGAGGGTGGCGAGGGAGAGATGCGACCCAGTTCTCTGGCAAATGGAGGAGATTGAGGTCTTACTTTCTTGGATTCCCGTTTCTCCCACATGCATCCAAAAATCTGCAGAAGGACCCCGCCTTGTCTTACTCTACGTAGTGCACATGATTCGACTTGGTACCCAACCTGTTGTCTCTTTTGCAAACATTTCGGGGTTGAAGTCTAAGTCCTTGATTAGGTGCCAGAGTGAAGCGAAGTTTCGGAAATGCAGTTTCTCATCTCAACCTCAGTAGTGGCTTCCACGTTTTATCTGGGGTCTTCCCACTATCAGGAGCTTCAGGGGAAGCATTATTTGGTGCCCTCACAGGGGTGTTGTTAAAATCTGAGAAGTCACTGTTCTCCTCGCCCTCAGCGCAGTGCCTAACCGCAAAGCAAAGTATCCTTGCAGTGTCCAACTTTCAGAGTATCTCTGCAGTGGCCAACCCCACAATGTTCCCGCAAGCTTTGTTAGAGACCCTGCAGCCCCCAGAAGGGACCTTATGTATGCTTTGCAATTCATTGAGAGGACCAGATTTCTCCTTCTCACCCATTTAAAAGGAGGCTATGTCAGCCTTATAACCTTTGAATTAAAGGACCCGAACGTAGCCTTCGTAAACCCTTTAAAGGGACGCTATGTAGGCCTTATAAAATAGCCCTTACAGCCCCTTTAAAGGGATACCAATGTAGGCTTGATAGCATCTTTAAAGGTGTTCGAGAAGCATGATATTTGTGCTTGTCGCTAGTATTGGTAAAGAGGCTTCGTCAACATTAGCTTCCAACTTAGTTCCTCAAACGTTGCAGCTAACTTCAGGATCCCCAGGTCTCAAAAGCTTGAATTCTAAACGTACTAGGTATTTGAGGCTGATTCGAATGAAGAGCCTTGGCTGGCAGTGAAAGATTCAGAGATGATCAAAAAGATGCACATGAATTGTGCTGCTTCTCAAGTTCATGGGCTTGTGGTCTGGACCGTATGGAGATTGTGTAGCGCTTCATGGGCAAGTCTGGCATAATGGAGCTCGAAAGGTTCGTGAGTCCTTTCAAGTGCTTTTGCAATCACATACTCCGCGGAAGAATATCTCGGACCCAATGTTGAGAGATGTGCGCTCCCGTACCGTTTGATTTCCTGTCACCTTGGGATTCTCTCAATTGGGGCTTGCGTGCTATAGATGTGGTTGTCGGGTTTTGCGAGTTCTTCCTCCAGGACTGGTTTTTTACGGGTGAATCAAGGATTCCCGAGGCTATCCCGGATATGGGGACTCTGGGGAAAAAGGGCCCAACCACCTGCTGCAGTTTTTGCTAGCTCGCCTCGCAAAGCTTTGGATGTTGAGCTATCCCTGAATAACCCCTATATAATCCCTATGTAATATAGTAGTTTCCACTTTCTTTTCATTTCTCTCCTTACATACCCATCCAATCCTCATATAACATATTAGTTTCCTGATCACCTCCAGGTAGCACAGCAGGATGGCATCATGTGCTTGTTCCAAGGAGGACCCCGGACCATGGGAGAATTTCCACACTGTTGCGTTGCTCTCTTTTGCAAGCTCTGTGGTAGTTTGCAACGGTGAGGTTACCCCTAAACCCTATTGTATTATAGTAGTTTCCATTTTCTTTTCCATTATCCCAATATTCCCCATATAACCCCAATATAACCCCAATATTACCCCAATATATCTCAACCCGACTTGAGGGGTTTCTCTTCCGAAGCACTTCCGGGTCGAGGCCGGTTCTGCTCCAACACCCACACCGAGCCCTAAACCCACGGATTTCTGCCATGATTCCAAGGACCATTGCCTACCTGACTCACGCAAAGGAGCCGGGCAACGAGAGGTTTCTAGATTGCGCCTAAGGGATGTGATTTAGATTGCAGAGATCGGTTTCCTGAATGGTCATTGGCGTTTCCTTCCAGCTGTGTAATTTAGGTGTATCTCAGTGTAATCTTGAAAAGGGGCCTTTATCCCCTTGTGATCCCTGCGCAAACCAAACGGCCCTATGTGGAGAAACCCCCATTCAACTCAGTCACTCATCCAGGTTCCATCCCCCCAATATTATTGCTACCCTACATGCCACCCAGTTTCCATTTCATTTTCCATTTGATTCTCCACCCCCATATTACTTGTCCAGGTTCCAACCCCCTCTGGTGAAGTTCAAGTGCACCAAGATGGATGGACCGGAGCCCAAGGCTCCTACATGCTAAACTCCTCAAAGGAGGGTTATATAGCGGATTGTATTGGGGACTATTAGGGGGATACGAGGAGTTTAGACTATACATCTCATGGTGCAGATTTCCCGTGGCTGCTGTTCAGGAACTCAAAGTAAGTTACTGTTCTTAGGAAGCCGCCTTGTTTACTATGCATGTGTGTCATGGTAGCTTAATGTATTTTTTTGGGGTTTGGGGTCTCAAGGGTCATCGTGTTAGGCTTTAAGAGTTTCGCTGCTAGGTGCAGCACCAGGACTGCAATGTGGGCAAGTTCCTATCTGATCAAATGAGCCCAGTGGAACGTTGTGACAACACTACCAGCACCTCAAGCCAGCATACTAACGTTACGTGGGCTCGGTGCAACATGTTGGAGCCTCATAGCCTTCAATGGTTGCGAGGGAGATTGTCAACTGGATTTTCGTTGATTTCAGACGGATCTCTACTGGATTCACTTGATTTCAATGCCATCCATTGTCGCTGCGGTCAGGGTGTCCAGTTACTCTCAGCCAAACTCACATGGAAACCCATAGAGCCCCTTTTCACAGCACAATATTTCTTCGCCGGGAAAAGGCTCCATTCTTGATTTGGGGAGGGTTGCGTGTAGTGGGATGCCCTGTCCGGCGACCCTTGCAAGCAAGACTCAGACTGCTAAGACACAAGATGTATCGAGGCTGAGGGTGGTTGAATCATAAGGTTTCATGACAGCTTTATACCATGGTTTCGAGAACAGCACTAACTAGGGTTCAAGTATGTGCGCATATCTTGCCATCATTGGGGTTCAGTTGTCAGGTTGGGGTCTAAGGTGATCTGATTCCTTCAATGATCCTTGCTTGAGTGGCAGGTATTGGGTGTCTAGATTTGTCGCACTACTGGGGCCCCATCATCCGCACGCTACCCTTCGTACTCGCCATTGTCCGCCAAAAACAGTTGTTCTTCTGAGATACGCCCGCATAAGCGCATGGAGCAGTGCAACAGATGAGGTCCTCCAGACTTGATCTAAGATCTGTATTCCTACGATACCTATGACAAGGATCCCAAAATATTTTCACATAACCCTTATAAGCCTTTATAAACCTTAACATAATCTGAACTCTAAACTTGGTTGCCATGCCATTTTCCGTCTGATTTTGCATTTTGTAGGATCCCTACAAGCACCCCGTCTTTGCGAACTCTCGAGATTCATCGCAATCTTCGGCAGATACATTACGTGCCAGTAGGGCCATACAGCTCTACAGGGCTGATCAGGGCTACAGCGGGGGCAGTGGAGGGCACAGGAGCCCTATTCACTTCATGAACCCTAAGCCCTAAGCCCTGAACCCTTTGCATCATTGAGGGGGTGGGTGCGGGGGCGCAAAGGTTTGAGGACATGTTTTTGTTGGTTCAGGAGCCTGAGACTTCAAGTTCTTGAGGTGGCTTCGGTTCCTCGAAGGCATGCTGACCACGCCAAGTTTACATCAGAGCAATCGCGGATGGGCTCCATCGAAACCATGGCGGATCATTTATCTCTTTGTTCTTAGAACTGAAGTCTATCCCCTGCCAAAACCGTGGTGGAACATTCAGGCTCCCAAATAGTAGCCCCTGAGAAACCCTGACATAAGCCTAGTGCATCCATTTTGCGGTTGGGTTGACGAATCTCCAGTCCTATATGAAATATACGCAGGGGGCTTACTGAAATCAGGTCCCGCAAAATACCTCCAACATACAGCCTGCCATGTGTTGTGAGCCACATTTTTCCTTGTTACCTTAATTTCTAAACCCCAAACCCTAAGCCCTAACCCTAAGCCCTAAACCCCAACACTATCTCCGACCTTACTTTCTAGTATTCCGGTTACCTTGGGCAGCCGGAAAAGGCCCTTTAAAAAACACCAACACCAAGCCCTAAACCTTGACCGCTCCACCTTACTAAAAAGCCCAGCCCCTCACCGCTGATCCTTGCACCCTATTAGAAACCTAAGCTCCAGGCCCCACAGCTTCAAAGACTCATCTCAGGGTGAACCCCGCCCCTGAGACCCTGAAGCTTCCAAGCCTGAAGCGGCCGGCACAGGCGCGGGTGACTTACGAGGCGAACGGCACCCAAGAGGCACAGCTTTGCTGTTCTGGGCAGTTGAAGATATTAACATCGTGGATTTCCAACATTAGGGGTCCCTTACAGGGGTTTATAGGGGTATATGAGGATATGAAGGTTTGTGAGGCAAGAAACTTAGGAAGGCGTTCTTGGCCTCAAACCTGTAAGATAAGGCTCTTCAGAGCTGTGTCCGTCCGCATCGAGATGAGTAAAGTCGCTCAAAGAATGAGGGGACACATCCTTATAGGTTTCTTGATGCCATCGTCGTAGAGGTACGGTTGTTTCGATTTTTGCTTTTTTCGGACAGGAGCGGAGATACACATGTCTGCTAAACTCTCAGAAGTTGTCCCTGTCAGTTTCAATGCAGGCAGCTACCGAAGACCCTGGCTCCTCCTACAGCGGATACTAAAATCCTGCGTGACCCTAAGTACTCTAAACCTTGGAAATTGTGGTACCATAGTATATGAAGGTCATGCATGTATCAACCGTATCTCCTAGGCCCAAAAGCCTTCATTCCTAAATGAGCTACTGTCTATATGTGCCTTATTAAGGGGCCCTCAAGGGTGGACATAGTGGTCGTTTAGTATAGTCCGCAGTATAGTCTCTTATAAGGAATCCATGTCCATTAATTTCTTTGGGAAACATTGATTGTAGCTCAAATGTCAATCCAGAAACAGAATCAGGGATCCCCTTTCAAAAAGTCCCCCAAGAAGGATAATGGTGTCTTGTGATCTCTATCAGGGTCCACTCACTACGTAGACCCCACATAGAGGGATGTCTCCCCCTAAAGCCTAAACCCTCTCCCCTTTGCTCCCGATTTAGGCTCTTGGCATAGGCATGGCCCTGACGTGAAACGAGGGAAAAGACACATCGGTATGGGGCTCCCAATGCTTGCTGGGGGTCAGTAGGGAATTGGGTCCCTTCACAAGGGGTTCATAGGGGTTATATAAGGATAATGGAAAAAATGGAAACAACTATTTAGTGTTTAGGGTTTAGGGTCAGTATATGAGCTACCGTCTAGAGTCCTTACAGAGGGTTATATAGGGGATTATGAAGGAGGATACCAGGAGTTTAGATTAAGGCTCGTATTATATAGGGATTTTCCCTTATTCCCTTTTAACCACCAGTAAGAAGACATGCCCCACCACTGAAAATGCCGTTTTACGAAATTCTGTAAGCCCCAGGCACCAAGCCCCAATCACTACATTGAAGACCTGTGCACGTGTATGAATACATAAAGGTATATGGATACCTACGCGCATATGCACCAAACATAAATAGATAGGTGGTTACTAAGGATTAAGGGACTATAATCCCTATGCAATATCTTCCTCTTCTGTCCTAGGCACAAGGAAGTTCTTCTGAT